GTAAAATATATTTAGCTGAATGTTCAGTTGTTGTCAAGTAAACAGATATGCTACAGAATTTACCCCTACCACATCACCATGGTATGTATCATGGAACTTTTCTCCTGTGATCAGTACATCTAACTTTAGATAACGACTCGTACAGGAAAGGTTATCTTGGTGATATAAGAGGTAGTCAGACTTTCTCCTGAGATTGTAATAAGCTGAAAGGGGCCATTTTGACCTGGGTGGGTGATTATCAGATGACCAGGATTACTCACTGCATATACTTGAACTCAGATGGTGGCAACTAGCTATCATTCTCTCTCTCCCACTCTGCCTGTGAAGGGATCACATTCTGCCTGCTATTATAGGTTGGTAAACAGACTGGCAGTAAGCACTTTGGCATTCTGCTTTCCAGATACCCCTCATGTATAAAGGGACATGAGGGTTGCTTCATCTTGCATAACTCATTGCCTTTGAAGAGCTGACTTTAGTGACAACAAATCATATGTGTGGAACTGTGTGTCAGCTTTGGGGTTCAGAGCCTTGGCAAGAGGAAAAACATGTTTAAACATGTTAATAATCCTATTAGGGCTGCATGATATGGAAAAATACCATATTGTGATTCCGCATTTCCACTGCTATAAAATAGGCTGGGTGGGTGAACTGCTTGTATTAGAAGATGTAGGCATTTGCTTTGTAATGTTCAGTATTAGTTTGTTTTTAAGTTTGGAGTGGTAATACTGAAATATTGTGCCATATCCCTAAAAACATGAAAAACATGCTAAATAACATGAAACTCATATCATGTTTCATATTTGCTGTATCAATGAGTAAAACCTTCTGAACGTTTGCTGACATAAGCAAGCAACTTCCATTCTTCAGGCCCTAAAAATGAAAAGCAGATCAAGTTTGGTTTTCTGGCAGACTTTCTACATGTGTTTTTCAGCAACAACAAAGTCTCAGCCTATGAGTATCTTCAGTTCTGCTGGAAAAGCATTGCATGTTTTCCCTTATTCTAAACTGTGGAAAATAGTGAAAATAAGGAAAACCCTTCTATGAGCAGGTGTTCAAACATTTGACTTGTATTTAGCACCATAATAATTGCTACATATTTCATTTGCAAAATACCTTGCAGTGTATTAAAAACCTTTGTTGTGACTTGATCTAATATACTTGACCCTTCGTTATTTTAACCAAAATAATTTACTTTTCTAAGATCATGTGCATAAGGGATGTGCACAGGAACTCAAGTGCCCAGTTAACCATTTGAGGTGCCAGTATTTGAATACTGATATATTATGGGTATTCGTTTCATTTTATCTGGGGAAGGTGAAAAAAATACAGACAAACATTCAACGAAACACCGATTTTATGTTTCAACAGGACTGTAAAATAAGTTCACTTGTATTGGTGGGTAAGTGTATTATAACGTGAGTACATTGTTAAGGACACAACTGATAGGGATAGTGCAGCTGGTTCTGCTGCAGCTTTATCGCTAACCAGACTAACTACTCTTGCTACTATTGGCTAGTTCCAGAAACAGTATATACAGACTAACATGTTAGCACATGGTCCATCTGTAAAAAGATGACCAGTCCTCTTCAGCATTCTGTGTTGTGCTGGTTAACGCTGTCACCTCATTAGCTCATCTGAAGGGGCATCCTCTGACGCTCATCTGACATAAAACAGGTGTTCAAATGTGTTCCTCCGTGTGCTGCTCAGTGTTTGTGCTGTCAGTGCTGTCTAAAAGGTAAATTAATATTGGCCTATAATAATATTTTTTCCTTCTCTGAAGTTAAGCAATTTATCCGTTCATTAACCTCTACAGATATTCAGATATCAAATTGGGTTGTGATGCACATCCCTGACGTGAATCCCCTGATTCATCAAAACCACAGAAACACTCATCTGGAGCTGAGATTGGTCAGGATGCTCACAGCACACAATAAACTAATTAATTTACTCATTGGCCCATTTGAACATTGCAGTGATCTGAGATATTCAGTATCGCAATGGTCAATATCATGAGAATGAAACTGCAGACCTAAATCATGTTTTATCTGTTTTATGCGTGTTTAAAGGAAGCTGAAGATTTCGTGTAAAAAGTCCATATTTAGCTTCCTCTTTAGGACAAGTTAATGGTGTATTAAGGCACTGCATTGTGGAGACTGTCCAGCAGTGCATCAGAAGCTGTGGTTTTCTGAGTGGTTCTATACCTGTACAAGGAAATGTCATTATCCCACATCCTGCTGCGCTGCAATATGTAGGACACAGTTCTCTTCTTTCTCAAAAACCTGCAGCACCTTCCTCTGCATGGTTTTCTGACCCACTGGGGCCCCTGGTTTTCTCTCTCTCTCTCTCTCTCTCTCTCTCTCTCTCTCTCTCTCTCTCTCCCTCTCTCCCTCTCTCCCTCTCCCTCTCTCTCCTCTCTCTCTCTCTCTCCCTCTCTCTCTCTCTCTCCTTGCTGGTGATCTGTCTTTCTATGCTGGCCGCATAGTTGGACCTCTGTGTGGAATGTGGACTAGGCTCACTGGCATCTCGTTGTTTTTTTTGTTTTTTTTGCCATTTGACTTCTGCTTGTTTTTCAACTTGTTTTGAGGCTAGAAAGCAACAAGTCTGTTTTGCACACAGCCAATTTATCAACACAACGTCCAGATATTTGTCTGCATAGTTCAGTGATTAAGATGTACGCAAAATCTTAATGAGTAGTTTGATGTAAAATGCCCTGTTCTAGAGAAACTTGCAGCAGAATTGCAGCATATGGTAGTGATACAAACCAGTTTAATGCCTCTAAAGGCTATCTCACAGAAAGTTATTACATGCAGTGGTTACAAATGTGCACTACCTGATATCTGTAATGTTATGATACTTTGAAGTTTTTTTGATACATGATTTGTCACAATAAATTAGAAAAAACAAAGTAGTGCCACAAAAAAATATCATCAGAAACTATGAATGCAGTGAGTTATATTCAGCATTTCACATTCTGCACTGCACTAAAACAGGACTAATTGTGCATTATGCTCTCTCTTATAATCAAACATGCTGTTGGGAAGTGTTTTTACATGCTGACAGTAGACCTTTCTCACAGTCACTGTGTCACCACATCCAGCTTTTGGCACCATTTAACAGAGCAGTAACAAAGTCCTTTATGATGTCTCTGGTGACAGTGGAGGGTCGCCAGTTTTCAGCCTTCCTTAAAAACACGGGAAGTCTCGGCGCAGCCAGTAGAAGAGCGCTTGGCTTGTCTGGTAGTTCCTCGAATGTGAACAAAAGCCTAAACTTGGCCCAAGGGTGTTGCACAAAAGTTTGAAACGTTGGACTTTATATGATCCTGCATGTCTGCTCCAACATACTCTGTTTACTGCTGAGCTCAGCGCAGTCCACTGAAAATAATTTATTTGAAAGTGTATCTGCGAATTTTCCATGTTCACTGTGGTGAAAGCAGCTGCGTTCAGACGGCCAAGCACGTCACAAATGCTAGCAAAACTGTCCTACTGGACAGTCCTGTGTTGGCTCTTCCGTTTTGTTTTTATTGGCCCTCTTTTCTTGTTGGTTACCTCGTGATAAGTGACACATGACAAGCTGACGTTGAACATTTTTCTGCTTGATCGTGTGGAAACTCAGGTGAAGCTGTTCGGTCGAATTATTAGTACTTTTAGGAACGCAGCAGTAGTCTTAACCATTGTTTACGTCATCAGCTGAAGTCAGCGCTCTTATTTACACTGCCTAATATTTGTGTAGTGTATCTCAATAACGATAAATACTGCCATGTTCCCCAGCCCTACATTATTACACATACAAACACATACAAACACATGAATACACCTGTAGGTTCACTGGTTGTCTTTGTGTTGTAGATGTCATGACCCCTGGTTCCTGTCACCAGCATTGTTAAGAAATTAGCGTTACAGTGAACCATTTCACATCAAACCAGTTGAACTGATTTTGTTACAGCTCAGTGATTATGCAGAAATTGAGAAAAAAAAACTGTTAGAAATCCATTTTAAGCATAAATATGTGCTTACAACTCTTTATAGCAAATTACAGTTAAATATGTTATTACTTTGTTGAAAGAAATGTTAACCAGGGCTTAATTAGTGACCAGAAGGTGCCCCAAGTACATATACCTTACAAGTACTTATTTCTAGACCGTTGAGAAACGTCTCTTTGAATACCTAGTGTATGACTCATGGTGAGAATATAAACACCGAGAGATCCTCTTATCCATTTTTGTGCCCCATGCTTGTGGCCTTACACGATCTTTATAATAGAGTCTGTAAAATATAAATAATCCAGTGCAGTGGTTCTCAAAGCCAGTCACGGAAACACATTTCGGTGCTTTCCCTCATCAGGAACATGGACCTGACTCAGCCTATTAAGTCTTAATGTTTACCTGATTAATTGAATCATTGGATTGGATTTTTTGGTATGTAAAAAACATAATCTAGCTGATTTTAAAACATTTTTTCAGTGATAATCTGTTATTTTGAGCAAGAAAACAAATGCATAGGACTATGCTTCAAGCATACTTCAGCCTTATTTGGCTTTTATTGTTACTCTGATGAACCAGAACTAAAATAAGTGCTTAGCAGGTTGAATTCCGTTCTAAATGAGTGTGCATGCTAATTCAGAAACTATTATAGTGCATTTAACAATAAAGGCAGCATCGAGGATCCCTTGTACAGCGATTAAAAAATATGGTAGCTCACAGAAAACTCCAGATCCACATGCTAATCCATTTTGCTATGCCTTACAGGGACATGCATGTGCCACAAGTACTGCAGATTTTAACGACCTTGCCAAAGTTTCAGAATGTATCTGTAATTTGCTCCAGGTTTCCAAGTTAAATTCTCCCTTGGTTTCCAGAGACCTCAAGTTGAACTGTTTAAGAACCTGGTTGAAGTCTGGCTCAGCTCGGCATGGCCGCTGCCGTCTCAGTGGTGTTATGCTTTACTCATGGGATGTGACGGAATATGGGAGGTGGTTGGGGAGTGGGGGAATTTCAGTAATCCTCAGTGAACCAGCATGCATGGTGTGAGGAGTACTCCCCCACCCGCCGTGTTGAAATGGACACTGCCAGTGTATTTATAGACCAGGCATAGAGTCAAGCACTGTTTCTTAAGAGAGTAACCGACACATGAGTTCGTCATAACAGTGATATTGCAGTCTAGAAGCTTCTGGCTCCCATCTTGTGTGCTCTGATTTCAGTAGTTAAGACGCTTGAAGAGGCACCCAGGTAGGAAGGCTGAATGTATGTTGTTTTATTAAACTTTTGGCTTGCATAAACAGGGTCAGTTTCCTGACATAAATTAGTCTTGGTCCTGGATAATATAGGCTTTAAAGGAGGAATATCACCCATATCAGAGCAACATAGGGCAAGATTAGGCTTTGTGGTCTTCTTTTTCCTCTACATTACTTTCTGCTCCTTATTCTGTATCTACTTTTATCTACTCCTTCAACTCCTCTACATCTACTTTTTTTCTATTCTCTACTCCTTCTTCTACTTGTTCTTCTTTTACTTCTTGTTCTTGGTTTTTCATCTGTGTAATCTTCTTCTATCTAAGTTTATCGTGGGTCAGTGGTCTTTTCCGAAACCTCTCAGTAACCGTAATTTAACTAAACTTGGACTAAGGCCAAAACCACCAAAACCACCAAAGGTCTGCTACCTGACCCAAGCCTGAGTTGGGTTGGATTTGTTTTCTAATAAGATTTATTTATTTATTTATTTATTTATTAAATGTGGTAATTTATTTATTTGTTTATAATTTTATTTTTTTTGGAATATTATAATAATTTTGTGAGCCTTCACACAGCACACAGTTTGTCTAACTCACTTTCTTGTATAGTCTACAACTGTATTCAGAATTGCTCCCTAAAGCCTCAGTACAACCTGATGACAAAGACTGGACCAGAGGATTGGCATAAAAAAAAATCCTTCATTTTGGTGCAGCTAGCAAACTAGCAGTAATGGCACATAAGTGAGCAAAACTACATACTGAGGAATGTACAATGCTGTAAACTGATCTGTAGCATAAAGGGAGATGACTGGTGTGGCTGGCAACAGGGGGTTTCTTGTATATAGTTAGCCAGGGAGCTGGTTAACTCGCCTACCTTTAACGATAAAAACACAAAAGCGAACATATTTATGTTAGATCATTATATACTCACCCCAGCACAGTGCTACACACTTATCTGTAGCAAAAAAGGGTAGATAAATGACTTGTGGCTGCGGTGAGCCAACGAGCTAACATTGCACTTAGCAAGCTGGCTAACTTGTTTACCAGTAAAACCAGTAAAAAATTAAGTGAATGTAATTTCACTTCTGACAATACCCTGGCAAACGTTGGTGCAGCTGAGGCTTAAACCATGTCTGCGATTATCCATCTCTGAGCGGGTTCGGGTGTGACATTTAGGAGGACTGGTCAGGCCTGGTTGGGTCTCAGATTTTTGCTTCAGTTTGCTGCAGACCTCTAACAACTACACTTTTTTTCTCTCTTTACAGATGAATTAAGTATTCTGAGTACGATCACAGCCAGAGACAGAGATTGATTAAAGGGCTTTGCCATGGAGAAGCCAGTTTTGCAGACGCAGCCCTCCATGCTGCCGTTCTTCGACACAGCGCACGCCATCAACCTCCTGCGGGGGATCCATGAGCTGCGGGCCGAGCGCAAGTTCTTTGACGTGACGCTGTGTGCTGAGGGTAAGGAATTCCACTGCCACCGCACCGTACTGGCTGCCGCCAGCACCTACTTTCGTGCCATGTTTGCAGGCACGCTGCGCGAGAGCGCCATGGACCGCGTGGTGCTGCATGAGGTGTCAGCTGAGCTCCTGGGCCTGTTGGTGGACTTTTGCTACACCGGCCGTGTGACTGTCACGCATGACAACGTGGACCTGTTGCTCAAGACTGCTGACCTCTTCCAGTTCCCCTCAGTCAAGGAGGCCTGCTGCGCTTTCCTGGAGCAACGACTGGATGTCTCCAACTGCTTGGAGATCCAGGACTTTGCAGAAGCCTACGCCTGCCGAGAATTAGCCGCTAGCGCCCGCCGCTTCGTGCTGAAGAACATTGTGGAACTAGCCAAAGGCACAGATTTTGAGAGGCTGCCATGGAAGCGGCTGTTGGAATTTGTTTCAGATGATGGCCTGTGTGTTGACAAGGAGGAGACAGCGTACCAGATTGCTGTACGCTGGGTTAAAGCCGACTTGCAAAGAAGGTTGCATTACTGGCCCGAGCTGCTCCAGCAGGTGCGCCTACCCTTTGTGCGCCGCTTCTACCTGCTGGCCCAAGTTGAAAGTGACCCACTCGTTTACTTGTCGCCTGCCTGCTTGCGGCTGGTCAGTGAAGCGCGCAGCTTCCAGTCCTGTGAGTACGACCGGCATGACCGACCGTGCCACCGCATGCGGCCACGGCCCTCCACGGGTCTGGCTGAGATCCTAGTGGTGGTGGGAGGCTGTGACCAGGATTGCGATGAGCTGGTCACCGTGGACTGCTTCAACCCTCAGACTGGTCAGTGGAGGTACTTGGCAGAATTTCCTGACCACCTTGGAGGAGGTTACAGCATAGCGGCACTAGGAAATGATATTTACGTCACAGGTATGTTAAACGGCCAGATGTTTGAAGTACTAGAGTTTGAGCATAAATGTAAGTTTTGCGAAAGTTTCCTTTTGTTGTCCAAAGAAATCTGCTAGGATAATTGTTCACAGTCTTAGAAGTCGGTTGCATTTTCTGCTTCTCATGATTCAAGAAATCCTAAACACATTCAGTAAAGTTTAGGTCAGGACGCTGAGGTGGCCAGTCCATTGTTTTTCTCAGTAAGGACTCCTTGACAGCACATCCTTCCAAACCCGTAGTGTTGAGTTGTTTTTCTCACAGTGAAAGGATGGACAGAAACACCTGCTGTGTTTTTAAGATCTGAAGCAAGAGCGGAGCTTAATTTAATACTGAAATATAAAAAACTTGTGCTTATTGGCCACTCAGAGTCAGAGTTGGTCTCTGAATTTTGGGCAGTAATATATATCAAACTACACAGATTCTGCAGTTTTATTGCTCCCCTCCTTTTGTTTTTTTTGTTTGTTTTTTTTTGTTTGTTTGTTTGGCTCATCCAGTCTTTTGTTAGTGACCCATATCTGACATTAAAGGGTTCTTCTGGCTTGAAAGGTGAACATAGTCTTTTTCGTGGTCTTTGCTGAAGACATTTGTCCTTAGTTGACTGTCCAAATTACTTGAAAGTTTATCCCTTGTGGACTATCCTGTATCTCAGCTTTATCACTCCCTTACGCTCTAGTCTTATGAAATGGCAGCCAGCGCAAGTATAAATAAACCACGGACTCTTTGGCTATATGGGAGAGAGGTGATGGGGACGTGGTGTTCTGCCAGAGAATCGCAGCAGTCTCTGTATTAATGATGGTCCAATGCACTGGACAGTGTTTCCACTGAGGAAATGTCTCGCGCCTTCACAAATGCCGCCTGTGTGTCAAGAGACACCGGTTGTTGCAACAAATCATTAGCAAAGATAGCACTAGCTACATGCACTTGCTGTTGTTATATAAATGCGAATACCAGGCAGGTGTAATGTTACTGGAAGTAGCTGTGCATTGACTTTTGCTCTTTTTAGTAGGACATAATGACCTCGGTTCTGAAAGAAGAGGTATTTGGGCTGCATTACTTGAGTTCCATGGGTCTGTAGTCAGTCTCCATGGAACAGAGTTGCGTATGGTTTGTTCATGCTTCTTGTAGCGTTAGCCTTAATCTCATTAAATGCTGCAAAATGAAAGCATTTTGCACCAATTTTGGTCAAGATCTGTAGGTCAGTTGAAGTGTCTGTTTGGTCAAGTGATTAAACAAGAAGTTCACATTTTAACAAACAGATGTTTTGGCCCATCGTCAAACCCTGTAGCATCATATAGTCTTCAATGTGATTTGTTAGGCAGTAGCTCTATCCCAATGACAATATTGTGATTGTACATTATAGGCCTGGGCAGTACTGATATTGTGGCTTCTTTTCCTCTGCAAGGCCAACTGGCTTACAGCATAGATACTATGGCACGGTTAGCTGACTGTACTCAGGGAGGCAGAATTCATATTTCGACTGCTGTACAACCACATAATGATCAAGCGACACTTGGAGACAAATGTACACAGGACAAAAAGTATTGGCTTTGGAGCATCTGTTTATCACAGGATGAGAAAAACAGCTTTTACCCAGAGTTCCTTATATGGACAAGATGCTGACTGGGTCATTCTCATGAAACTGCACCAAAAATTATGTAACACATTTGTGGATATACAGTACATCATGCAGATAAACAATATTTATATGATATAGTAGAACAATGGGAGCTCTGAAAAGTACAGCAAAAAGTGAAATTATTTTTTTTTATTTTGAAGGTATTTCATGTTGGTCAAGTTAATGCCAGCCAGTGTAGCTGTCTCAAAGCTATGTTTCTGCTATATCGATATATAGCAGTATGATTGCACTATGATGTTTTGCCCATGTATTGCAGCCGTGCTGTGAATGCATTGTACTTTGCCTCCTTTTAATCCTGCCTGTTTGTCTGCGGCAGGCGGCTCTGATGGGTCCAGGCTCTATGATTGCGTGTGGCGCTACAACTCCAGCGTGAACGAGTGGACGGAGGTTTCGCCCATGCTGAAGGCCCGCGAGTACCACAGCTCATGCGTGCTGAAAGGCCAGCTGTATGTGGTGGCCTCGGATAGCACGGAAAGGTATGACCATGCTCTGGACTGCTGGGAGGCCCTGCCGCCCATGCCACACCCAATGGACAACTGCTCTACAACAGCATGCGGTGGGCGCCTCTATGCCATTGGCTCCCTCACTGCAGAAGACACCATGGCCATACAGTGCTACGACAGCGACTCCAACCGCTGGACACTGGTCAATTGTGGTCAGCTGCCTCCATGGTCCTTTGCTCCCAAATCGGTGACTCTCAATGGACTCATCTACTTTGTAAGGTAAGCTTTTGATGTACACACACAGTCATTTATCTTGTCTGGCAGGGCTGTAGGTTTTTAAACAGAGCGAATCGAGGGTGTGGAATGAGGACTCCATTAGCATATTATCATGATTCCTTCTTTCAGGGATGACTCGGCAGAAGTTGATGTCTACAATCCACAGAAGAAAGAATGGGACAAGATTAATCCAATGAACCAAGTAAGGGATTTAAAGTCATCACCACATTCACTCATGATTTACATAGGTACACTACTGTTTAGGAGTTTAGAATCGCTGTTTATACCTTTGAAATCAATGATGTAAAACCTAATAGATTAGTCCCGTGCAGCTTCCCTGGTTTCAAATAATTAGTAGGACACCGTGAAGCTGTAAATAAAAATAATACAGGTTAGAAGTGTGTAGAATACTGAATGGAGGCACAGAAGTTTCTGAAAGAAACTGAAAGCTGTATAACATCAAGAATTAAGTTAGAATCAAAATGTTCTCCAGAATTTGTTTCATTTCAGAAATGGACATTAAATCTGAAGTAGAGTAACTTTACAAAAAATGAATGTAAATAGATAATTACAGTATTTTTTTTATCATTCATTTCTCTGTTCATATTTTGTTTGTTGGAGCAAAATAAAAATAAAACTGTGAAATAAAACAGCCGTGCAACATGATTGCTGTCAACTTAAGTAATTAAATTAAAATCGATTACAAATAAAACAGTTAGTTACAAATAAACTAAAGTAATAGTATAAATATTATTTATTTATACTTTTATAATTGCATAAATACCATTTCAGAGAAAAAAATTACAAAGGTTTTGGTGCCCCTGTTCAAATACAGTTTTGTTTTTTTTGTTTTTGTTTTTTGTTTTTGTTTTTTTTTAATTTTCTAAGTGAAAAAGTACACATCCTCCACAAAGGCCACACTGCACATTTTAATGCACAGGTGCCGTTTATTTATTTGTAACATAATGAAGCATAAAATGGGACCTGTGCAAAAGTTACGCCACATTTTAGGTTTTATTTTTTTCCATTATTTAACCTCTGCAAAAAAAAAATAATAATAAATTGGAAAAAAATGCCACATTCAGGTGTGTTTCCTGTAGACTAGTGTTAATTTATTTACAAAATAATGTATGTAAAATAAATTTGATAGGGGTGATCAAACTTCCCTGTACAACTGTATATGAATAATTTGCTTCTTTCCCCTTTTGGTTCTTATACTAAAACATGATTGATCGTCTCTCTCAGGTCCACGTTGGAGGCAGCGTGGCAGCTTTGGGAGGCCGTATCTACGTGTCTGGTGGCTATGACAACACCTTTGAGCTGTCCGATGTGGTGGAGGCCTACGACCCTTCCACTCGCTCTTGGAGCACGGCCGGCAGATTGCCGCAGCCCACCTTCTGGCACGGCAGCGTCAGCATATTTCGCCAGTTCATGCCACTCGTGCCCAGCACCTTTGAGCCCATCGACATGCCAGATGCCAACGACATTCACCTGCACCGGCACCATCGCCACCAAGCCCTTCACAACCTTAACAACGAGCTCAACCAGAACCGCGAGGTGAACGCAGCACGCTGACTGCTTACACCGGTGCTCCGAGGGGCGCCCCACTGAATGTGACGTTGCAATGTTACATACATTAGGCACTTTAACACATATTCACCTCAACTGGAGAGCGAGTGGAGGAGGTGAACAGACACTTCTTGTGTTCGCTTCATTTGCCTCTGTAAACTAGCGCTACCACAGCCATATGTGTTTTGCATGCAGTTCTAACTCTGGCTGTGAAGGACTCTGAAGGAGGGGGGGGTGGGAACAGATAAAGTGGCTCTTTATGAAATAGTGCCTAGTTATCCATGCCTTGGAAACTGAATGGAGATCAGGCTGAAGAAATACTGTTGTTTAGTTGCTAGTCTGCCAAAAGTGGTCCACAGCATTTTATCATCAATTAGGGCTGTTACAGTCGACTGTATTGGTAATCAGTTATTTTGATGATTAATTGAATAAGCACTCTCAAAAAAGACTGAACAAAAAAATTAATAATAACAAACCATGCGTAGCCTTTCAAAGATTTCAGAGTACTTTTAAAAAGGACTGTGCAGAAGTCACAGATCATCTTTCATTCGTTTCATTTACAGCCAAAACAGCCAGTAAGTACAGGTTCTGTATTTTTCAGGAGATTTCTGAGGAGACTTGATAGAAGACAATGCACTTGCATAAGAAAGGGGGAAGGTAAAGGAAAAACTGGAGTTGAAACATTAATAAAATGTACAAAAGATACACCGATCGGTCACTTCATTAAGTACACCACGTTGTATCTACATTCTTTATTCATTTCATCAGCTCCACTTGCGTGCTGCGGTTACAGACTGCGTGCGGCCAGTCGGTGAGTGTGTTTACATGCACTCAGTATTCTGCTCATAATCGGATTTCTGCAGTTATCTGATTATTCAAATTTCCAATTTCTTAGATTGGAGTAAGGTCTAGAAATCAGAATAAGAAATCCAATAAAAAGTGCTGGTTTTTAGCTCAGTAATCAGATTTCTCAGTGCATGTGAACTCTTACTCTGATTTCTTTCGGATTGCTTAGTCTACGCATGTGCGAAACAGACCGTGGTACTGTAAATGGGCAAGGAGCGCTGCCACAAGATGGCAGCAAAACACTTTTGGAGCGACACTGAAACCAACTACGTGCTTGACGAAATGAAGGATACATCTAGATGATGTATGTTCATAGTTTTCAGGTAAAGTGGTGCGATGTTTAAAAAAAAAACGCGGCATGAAGTTTGAGTTTTACATTAAGTTTACGTCACGTCTTCTTCAGTGAGTTTATTGGCTGGTTGCAAAGCAGAAATCTGATTACTGCCTGACTCATGTAGACCTGGAGTTTCCCCATTATCTGATTACTCAAGTGCATGTAAACGTGTTTATCGGATTACTGACACTATTTGATTTTCTGCATTAAGTGCATGTAAACGCACAAGTGCATGTAGGGCTGCTGGTGTTATCAGAACAATGGACTGACCACGCCAGAAGCTGCAATGAAGGCAAAGGGTAGACACACTAAGGACTGAAACATTTGAGATTATATTGAGTCGTTAAGGCTTCTGTATAATTTTCAGTTAAATTTTGACTGGAAATTATATGAATGACAATTGGTGCATATATATATATATATGCACCAATTGTCATTCATATAATTTCCAGTCAAAATTTAACTGAAAATTATACAGAAGCCTTAATGACTCAATATACAAAAAATATATTTATGAAAAAATATATATGCTTTTATATTTCATCATGCCAAATTGCCAAATAATCATGATTGCTAATTCACAGAAAAATTTAATCGATTATTTTTTAAAGTGAGTAATCATGACAGCCCTATTTTCAGTACCACACAAACCTTGTTTGCCACTCCATACATTCCAAAAGGTGAAGGGATGGGATTGCTGAGTTTATATGTATAGCCAAATTCAGACTGCACTGTTGAGGAGACAAAGTCTAAGGTATTTTGTATGCTTGGATAATTCAGAACGAGTGTTATGGAACGTATATATTTTTAAGAATCCTTGTTGATCTCATACATTTCAATAGACGACAAGAGATCTTGTTCTGTGGATACTTTTCCAAATGTCAAAAGAAAGCAGTCAGACCTGTTTTATGTCCTCCAGTCAATCTAGACATATCAGACAATCTAATATGCATGAAGTACCCATGTTTCTCTGTGAATTCATAGTTGAATCATAATTTTCATATTTTAGTTGTAAGTTTATTTATGAATGTGTAGAGAATGTTTATTTTAGTGAAGGTTTGAAACTGTAGATGAAGAGCAGCCTGTGTTACTTTACACGTCTTGAAATCATCAGTTATTCAAAATACGTGATGAAAGCTGTTGTATTTTTGTGTATGTCTTTAAGTATGCTGTTAATAACTGGAAGTAGTAATTCACTATCTTGAGTTAAATTTGTGTTTGATAATACTAGTAATTATGATTACGTATGTTATACTGAAACGGTACTTGATGTAGCTTCTTTATTACTTTATTTTTCATACGGAATGATTCTTCTTTTGTGGCCAAAATCATTTTTACCATACAGGCTTGGTTTGAGTAGTGGCGTCTGTAAGTGTGATCAGTCAATAAACTGCAGGCAGGAATGTGGTTTTGTCTGTTTATTTACAGAAGTTTATCTGTAAGAGTATTTATTCAGTAGTAGGAAAAAAACAACCATAACATTGTCATAAAATATGTACATTTATTTACATTACATATTTGCTCTATATTCCAAAATTGGTATCATGCAGAAGGGCTGTGTTTTGAGAGCTCAAGGATCAAATCAAGTAATTTACTTTTAAATCAGAGCTGAACAAATCTGGCTACATAAACACATACATACATACATGCATATCGTCACAGCATAAAGAAAAACATCTTCAAAATGGCAACTTTACAGGAGAAAGCAAAATGTTCTTTACATTTAATGTAATAATGTTAGATTTTACTGCAAGCAATTTTGGAGCATTCCTATTGGCCCATTCATTGGGAAATTTTCACCCATTGTAAAGGGCAGCTGCTCTTCTCAAATGATGTGGAAAACTAAAAATAATAACGAAAAAAATGCAGATACTTTTTTTGGACAGCATCGATATTAGGGACGCACAATCGGAAACAATCAAGAACGGAATTGGCAGATTTTGGCCTCAAACAGGCAACTGGCAATCGTCCAATTTATTATTTTTATTTTTGCTGATCACTACGATGGTAACGACACTCGCGCTGTTTTTTTTATATATTATTATATTATATATTAGTCTTAAAGGTGCAGTAACAAAAACAGCCTGTTTAAGATTGTTACATAAACTCATTCAAACATAACTGGACATTGGGCGAAAAATAAAGTGCAAGAAAAATTAAGGAAATGGGCCCTTCTGACATTTAAGACTGGAATTTAAAATGCCAGTCTGGCCCATTAAGGGGCAAATAATATATTTATGTTGCAACTTTGGCTAATAGAAAGCATTTGGTCTAATATAAGTGGGCCACTTTTTCTGTAAAGAAATCGGATCAAAAAAAAAAATCTTGATCTGTACATCCCTAATACACATGTAATAAACAAGTGCAAACACTGAAAATCAACATATTCTGGAAATTCAACCAGAGGAATTTTATAAAGGAAGATTATGCAACTGTAAACTTCTAGATTATATAACTGCAATCAGTTTTCAATGCCAAAACCATTTTGGAGAAATAATCAACATTAAAATAAGTACAGCAGTCAGTGCATTAGTGATTTCATTTCCCATCACAGCTCTTCTTTCTGATGGCAGTAGTCTATACTCCTTTTCTGAAGGACAACAAAACTGCTCCCTAATCAGCTCAAAGCAGTGGTCACTAACCCTCCTCTTGGACATCTACTTTGCTGCCAAGTCCTGCTCCAACCTAAAGTGTAAAACTCAGAAACGTCCCTTTCAGCTTGGAAAGACCCTGTGAGAAAAGGCTGATTAGATGGAGCTGATGTGGCCACTTAGGGCTGAAGCTGGACCCTGTCACTCTTAAAGGGGTATTCAACCGATTTTTTTAAAATTTCAGCATAATTCAATGGTTAAGATGTAAACATAGTCTTTCAGAGTGGTTTGGTGTGAAATCCCCTGTTCTAGAGAAACCTGCGAAGTCAGAATTGTTCACAGTGGTGGTGATAGGAACCAGACATTCAAGGTATTCAATGCCTCTAAAAAGCTCCCTCACAAAAAGTTATTACATGAAATGGTTCTGAATAAGCTGTCTGATGCCTGAAACACTGTTTTATGACAGTTTTGGGATCAGCTTTTGGCCTAAAATGTGTCTTTCTTTTTATTTTCTTTATTTTTTTTTTATATACATTTATGGCAGAGATGTACATGCAGGGCACTATAAGGCAAAACAGTCCCCAAAGAAGACATTTTTCAGATGTAACTATTTTACCATCATCAAAATTACATATAAGACACGTGTAGGTTTGCTAGTTTTTCAGATAGTAAATAAAATGGCTAGATGTGTGATGCCAGATGCCACAACCCCAGTTCCCACCACCACCACCACTGTATATAAATCAGCAGGTATAGTTCACTACTATCCAACATTCCATGTTCACATCTCAACTATTTAATTACACAGAAATTTTGAAAAATGAATAGAATTCTCCTTTAATCATTGTCCTGATACTCTGACTGGTATTGCAGGCTGCAGTATGCAAATAAATGTTTATTATATATAGTTCTTTTGGGTGTTTTGATGAATCAAGGCATTTACATGACTATCGTCACTCTGTAGGTCACTCTTCTCTCCCTCAGGTCTTCCCATCAGTCCCAGAGCCTTGTAGCTCCACCACCAGATCAGTTTGGATGGGAAACGTGTCCGTCACCAGCACCGTGTGCTGAATCACATTGTCCACGGTAAAGCCATCCTGCTCATCCGCAGCCTCTGCCTCCTTCATCTCGCTGAACGTTGGCTGCTCGCCGCTGGCTGAAGCCTCTGTCTCCGTGATCGTAGCCTGGTCTCCCCCAGGGTCCATGGCCTGGGTGGATGCTCCCAGTTCTGGCCCCTGGACCTCTGACTTGACCTCTACTCTGATTATGTCCCCAAGCTCTGGAGTGGCCTCTGTCTGGCTTGGCGGAGTGGATGCAGCAGCTGCATTCTCATCCTCCACCACCAGGTTGCGCAGTCGCCTCTGGCGGGGGTTGTAGTTCTCCACGCGGTTGTGGATCTGCAAGTGCCGCCGCAAGTGAGCCTGCCGGAGAGGATGAAACACAGAGAGTCAACAAACCGAGATCCTCAAGTTTATGAGGCAGACACCTCAGACTATTCTGTATGCTGGGGGTCTGGACTGCACATTTGGGACAGTCCAAAACGCTAACATGACAACAGAGAGAAGCAAGGAGACTAAGAACAAGCTAAGAGACTAAAGTAGCACACATATATATATATATGTGTGTGTGTGTATGTGTGTGTGTGTGTGTGTGTGTATCCATTTTATCAGCTCCACTTACTATATAGGTGCACTTTGTAGTTCTACAATTACAAACTGTAGTCCATCTGTTTCTCTGCATACTTTGTTAGCCCCCTTTTACCCTGTTCTTCAGTGGTCAGGACCCCCATGGACCCTCACAGAGCAGGTACTATTTGGGTGGTGGATCATTCTCAGCACTGCAGTAACACTGACGTGTGTTAGTGTGTGTTGCGCTGGTCTGAGTGGATCAGACACAGCAGTGCTGCTGGAGTTTTTAAACACCTCAGTGTCACTGCTGGACTAAGAATAGTCCACCAACCAAAAAGCCATCAGCGACCTGTGGGTAGCGTCCTGTGACCACTGATGAAGGACTAGAGGATGATTAGATCACACTGTACAGCAAAAGATAGGCTATCATCTCTGCCTTTACATCTACAAGGTGGACCAACAACGCAGGTGCGTCTAATAGAGTGGACAGTGAGTGGAGAGTGAGTGGACATAGTGTTTAAAAACTCCAGCAGCACTGCTGTGTCTGATCCACTCGTACCAGAACAACACACACTAACACACCACCACCACATCAGTGTTACTGCAGCGCTGAGAATGATCCACCACCCAAATAGTACCTGCTCTGTGAGGGTCCATGGGTCCTGACCACTAAAGACCGGGGTAAAAGGGGGCTAATAAAGTATGCAGAGAAACAGATGGACTACAGTCTGTAATTGTAGAACTACAAAGTGCACCTATATAGTAAGTGGAGCTGATAAAATGGACAATGAACGTAGAAACAAGGAGGTGGTCATAATGTTATGCTTGATCGGTGTATATAAGACAGCTTTTTTAATATAGCACAATACTGGGCAGCCAGAGAGCTAGAGAGATAGAGACAGATAATTTATCTACATAAATCAATTTTAAGAGGCATATCTTGGGAAAATTGTGTAAATGTAAAATTTGGCTGAACTTTTGCTTAAATGTTTATTTTGACCTGTCTCAGCTATCACTGTACCTGTCTGGTGAACTTGTAGCCACATTCGGTGCACTCAAACTTCCTCATGCCTTTGTGTCTCCGTACATGAACGCGAAGCTGCTCGATGGCTGAATGGAATAATCACATCAGAAAGCAAAGGGAGAGGGTCACACCAATGACATTTCATAATACAAAGTGCTACAACTGGACCCTGCCATGGCTGAGACAGAATACAACCACATGATTCATCTCACACTTTTTCCAACACAGCTACAAGTATTTCTATTTCTCTGCCAGATACAAGTTAGTGGCCACTAACAACAGTGGCTCTTCGTAAAGATTTAGACAGTGATTCCAAGTCTTCTCACCTTTGAAGGACTTGTTGCAGATGTGGCAGAAGTGCGGCCGGCCTTCCTGGTGTTTGCTGGCAATGTGGCGCAGCAGCGGGCCTTTCTCAGTGAACCTCTGCTCACAGAACTCGCAGCTGTATGGCCGCTCGCCAGTGTGTGTACGGTGATGCTTGTCCAAGCTCGCTGCTCAAACACATGAAGATTTTGGAGCAGGGATTAAAAACGGAATGAAAACAAAACATAAAAATGAAGAATATTTTTCTGAAAATATAATCCAAATCCGGGAAAACTTTCAACTTTCAGATGGTTAACAACATTTTTTACATTTTTACACTGAACAAATGCAGCAGCGGATGATTTGGTGTTGTTGCTATATTAATAGGCCTAATACATGCACATTTTTCTATAGCAGTTTTTCTTTACTATAGTTTTTCTTTAATTCCTTTTTAACCAGTTAACATCTGGAGAAGGAAGGTGGAGTTGTGAAGCAAAAACCATATTAGAACAAAGCAAAATTCTAAGCCAGTTCCAATTTTAATCCCTGATTCTATGAAAGTTAACCGAAACAAAAGAGCACTGTTATTAACTGGTTAAGCAAAGTTTAAATTAGCAAAATGTTTTCACTCAATTTTGTATGCCTGGCTGTTAAGCAAGTGTCACATTCACTTAACAGCGAACGTACAACTCCAGTCTGAGTCACTGACTCTAATCCACTTTCTCTGGCTTCTAATGAGTGTTTGGGGTAGAAATATGAAAATCACATACAAGGGACCTTTTATATGAAGTGTACATAAACTCTGGAAATCTACCATGTAAATATACTTACAGTTCTCATTAGTCTAGTGCAACTGGTTAAAGAATTACACTGAGAATTACCTTGAGTGCGAAAGGTCTTGCCACAAAGGTGACACTGGAATGGTTTCTCGCCCGTGTGCGTGCGGAGGTGCATGTTGAGGTTGGCTTTCTGGGTAAAGGCATGCTTGCAGAACTCGCACACGAATGGACGCTCATTCCTGAAGAACACGGAAAGAACACTTATCAACTGGGTGGGCAGTTACATGTCAGTATGTTCATGGTTAGGATGTGATGAAATGGCTGCTTAGTTTCGATGATATAGGGATTCTATGGAACAATGTTTACAAACGATACCTTATTTCAAATACGCAACTCTTAAAATTAATTGTGTATTATGACACGATTCTAAGCCATTTTCAGAACTGCTGATCATTCTCCCAAAGCAGAGATAATATATGTATTTATAATGACCGCCATACTGTAAATAACACCTTATATAAACATATATTTACCTGTGAATGGCTTTGATGTGCATCTGTAGGCCATTGCGGCTGGATGCTCGGTGACCACACTCCTCACACACAAACAGCTTCTCTCCCCGGTGCTTAGCTGCCTCATGGAGGCGCAGCTCTGTGCGTGACAGGAAACACTTGGGGCACAGTGAGCACTAGAGAAAAAACAGGATCATTTCGAAATTAATACCTTAATACATTCACCTCAAAACATCTGTTGAATATCAACATCATCACAGTCGCAGAATTACAGATAGATATTGAATATTACTACCAACATGACTTGCACTGGCTATATCATCACTATTCAAACTCACTAATAAAGGTGCTAAATGAAACCAAACGGGGTTTCTTGGAGTTATACCACAGAAGAACCGTTTTTAGTTTCCTAAAGAAGCTTTTAATGCACAGTTCTTCAAAGAACCATTTTTGTAAATGAGATATGCAAGTGTAATGAATCTTTTTCAAATTTAAAAGCCAAGAAAGGAGTGCGGAAATGAGTGTATATCAGGGGCCAATATGTAATAACTGTGGTGGGCCAAAAAGCCAAAAAGAAAAATATACAGATGAAGATTAGAAGGTAAATTTCATGTTCAGTTTCAAAATTTCTAATTAAATCATTACATTATTGTAATTGTATATTTTTTGCATTAAAAAATGTGAATTTAAAGGGCCTATATTATGAAAAACTGAATCCTTTTGTTCCATCTGAGAAAGTATGTAAACACTGTTAAGGTTTCAAAACGTACCTTTTACTCCCCAGTTCATACAGTACACATATGGAATCTAACCTGCAAAATCAGCCAGCTTTTAACTTACTGTTTCTGCTAATTTTATTACACAGTTCTATTTTTTATATATATTGGGGAAAAAAATACAACTTAAATAAAATGTGCCATAACATTTGCACAGGCCAAAATCAACAAAACATCATTTGACCAGGGGGGCCCAAACTTGTGCATATGACTGTACATCTATCTGCCTCCTTAATTTTAAGGGATAGAGAGAGGTTGGAAAATGGTCCAGTGAAAATTAATTATGACTGTTTTTGGTGCGTGAACCCACACAAACAAAATGACTTTTGAGAGAAAAATAAAATAACAATAACAACGTAGCATATGGGCCCTTTAATCTGTATGTAATGTGACAACATGGGTGGAAGAGTGCGGTGAAGGTAACTTTCTGGTAGGACAAATCAAACGTCCTGCTAGTTCATTACAACACTGTATTATTGTGAACAGTATTCCAAAATGTAGGCTTAAAGCCTGTTCTTACCGCATGTGGTTTAGGAGCTCCATGGATTTTAATCATGTGGATCCGGAGATCCTTCTTCTGCATGAACTGTTCAGAGCATGAAGTGCACTACCATGGGAAGACAACGGCATTGTAACATTAAAACCCAATACAAAACTCTTTCAGTTCACCCATTGCTAACTGTGTATAAAATCAAGCACACAGACATGTAATCTCCATAGACAAACATTAGCAGTAAAAGAGGATGCCACCTTCGCCACAAGTAAGTTTGGGAAATTTCTGCCCTGCTAGATCTGCCCTAGTGAACTGTAAGTGCTATTACTGTGAAGTGTCTAGGAGCCACAACAGCTCAGCCACAAAATGGTAGACAATGCAAACTCACAAAGTGGGGCTGCCAGGCACTAAAGTGTGTAGCACATAAAAATATATCCTGCTACAGAGCTCCAAACTGCCTCTGGAAGTAATATCAGCTCAAGAACCATGTGTCAGGAGCTACATGAAAAGGGTCTCCAAGGCCGAGCAGTGGCACATAAGCCTAACATCATTATGCGCAATGCTAAGCGCTGGCTGGAGTAGTGTAAAGCACACCGCCACCATACTCTGGAGCAGTAGAAACATGTTATTCGGAGTGATGAATCACACTTCACTATATGGCAGTCTGAAGGATGAATCTGGGTTTGGCGAATGCGAGGAGAACACTAGCTACCAGAGTGGACAGTGCCAAGAGTAAAGTTTGGTGGAGGTAGGATAATGGTCTGGGGCTGTTTTTCAGAAGTTTGGTCTAGACCCTTTAGTTCCAGTGAAGGATTATGTTAATGCTACAGCATACAATTACATTTCAGGCAATTATATGCTTCTAACTTTGTGTTAACAGTTTGGGGAAGACTCATTCTTCTTCAAGCATGACGATGCCCCTGTGTACAAAGCGCTATCCATAAAGACATAGTTTGACAAGTTTGGTGTGGAGGACCTCCAGCAGTCTGTGCAGAGCCTTGACCTCAACCCTAATAAACACCTTTGCGATGAACTTGAAAGATGATTGTGAGCCAGGCCCTCTCATCCAACATCAGTGACTGCCCTCACAAATGCTCTTTTGACTAGATGAGCATGAAGTCCCACAGACACACTCCAAAATCTTGTAGAAAGCTTCCCAGAAGAATGGAGGCTGTTATAGCCACAAAAGGAGGACCAACTCCATATTAATGACCATGGTTTTGGAATGGGATGTCCAACAAGCTCATACGGGTGTGACGGTCAGGTGTCCATACAGGTGTCCCAGTTTTGGGGTACTCTGACCTGCACATTTTAGTGTTACCTTGCTCTAACACACACACTTCTCAGGAAGGGCTTGTAAATTAGCTTGCTAGGTGTGTTAAAGCAGGGAAAACCCTAAAATATGCAAGATCCAGATACTCCAGGACCAGCGATGGAAGCTACTGTGCTTGTGTACATTATATATCCAAAAATATATCCAAACATTTGTAAACACAAACGGCTCATCCAATGTTTCTTCTTAAACCAAGGGTATTTATGAAGAGTTTGTTTCCCTTTGCTGCAGTAACAGTCTCTACTCTTCTGGGAAGGCATTAGATGTTGGAACATTGCTGTGAGGATTTAACTGCACACAGTCACAACAGTATCAGTGAGATCAGGTACTGATGTTAGATGATTAGTTATCCCCTTTTTACAGTAGCACCTGAATGCAATTTCCACCTGTTTTGGAGGCTGAATTATGCATATTGTTTCTTCAGTAACGCTGGAATATATTTTAATGAAAACATATTTGATTTACAAAAATGGAAGTGAACTGGAATTTGTGCCCCCCTAGCTGATGTCTGAGATTGGTCATGGTGACCTTCGGCTCATGTGGGTCTGCTCCACAGTATCCCATTCTACTAGCAATGCTTTTCTAAGGAGTTGTGTAAAGCTGTGCATTTGAATGTCTGTGTTAGTAATGGGTGCACCTCCAAGTTGCTGAATTCACTAAATAGAATAGAATTATATATATATATATATATATATATATATATATATATATATATATATATATATATATATATATATATATATATATATAAAATAATCATTTGGCTGCTGTATATGTGTGTGCCATGGGGAGTGCACCTTATTTGGCATTTCTCCTGTGTGTGTGACCACGTGGAGACGCAGCTCTTGTCTCTTCTTAAAGGTCATGGAGCATCTGGAACAGGAAAAGACCTAGACCAAACAAGAAATCCATTTCAGTCAATTATCAGTGTACAAACTATGTAGCAATGCATATGCAACAATTACATAAACCTCTTCCTAATGATAGAGGTGCAAAATGCATTGCATCATAATGCATCAGTCTGAAGGAATCAAATCAACTGCACAGATTTTAGAATGTTAAAATCAGATAGAATAGTAATAATCAATTATAATGAAGGTGCATTTTCTCGGCCAAAATAAAAATCTCAAAAAAGCTTGGTGTATTGTTTTTATTGTCTGTATTCTGCCACTGGCAAAAAGTCAAATCAGACAATTTTCAGAGAATTTCTGCAAACTTATTCTATGTAAATGTTTTATACTATTCATCACGCATCAGTAACCAAATCACAACAGTTAGTGAACAAAACATTGGCAGTCTTTCCCAATGACTCTTACCGTGGCATTCTTTTCTTCATATAGCAGCATGCAAAAATAGGCTGCTAAAATATCAGTTGTAATTATCAGTCATAATTCAAAAATAATTCCTGATAAAAAAAATGTAAATTCTACAAATAATAAATATATATCGTCACTCTTGGAACAAAACCTTGCATCTTCATTTATTTTTTTAAACTTACCACCTCAGTTCTGCTGAGACAGTTCCTGGCCTCATGCTCCTGTAAATTCTCCTTCCTGTAGTAGCATTTCCCGCACTTCGCACACTCGAAAGGCTTCTCCCCCGTGTGCCGTCTGTTGTGTACTTTTAGGTAGTACTTGCTGAGGAATGTTTTGTGGCATGTAGGACACTGCACAGAGCCCTTCTTCACGTCCTTCTGCGAGGCCTCTCCGTTTTCTTTATTTGTAGCTTTGCCTTTTCGTTTGCGCTTTCCTCTGGGGCTCTTCGAAGGTGTTACAGGTGAATCATGAGGTATATACTCTTCATCAGTGTCCTCTGGGAAACCTTCGAGGCCCACACCATCCTCATCAACATCTTCAACAGCGTCATTATTCTGACTGTCGGCAGGAACATCCTATACATGTTTTGGAAAAAAACAATAGGGGGGTATAGGGAAGACCAATATGATTAATAATTTCAAAGATCAATGATATTTTCACTAGAAATTTACAATGTACTACTGGTTGCATAGTTAGCTGCATGAATACAAAACAAAATAGAAATTATCACTCCATGTGCTCTGGTAATATGAGCTGCTGTCACAGAACATTTTTTTTCCCTGAAAATTACATCAGGTCCTGCGGCAATGGGTTCTTATCTGACACCACCAGCCAACATTCTGGAAACAAAACGAACTTCATATTCAAAACATACTGGTCAGTAGGCAGGTGCCCCTTCAGCTGTTGAATTAAATTCAAACAAAAAATAACCATTAACACTGCATTTCCATCACCACTGTTCAAGAGCATAAAACTATCTACTTCACCTTCGTAAAACACTTCTGAGAAATACGGAGCAAGTTTACAAAAAAACATTAATGTTAAGCAGCTCCTCACTGGTGTTTTCTTTCATTTTTTTGGCTGTTTTTACACCATAAGAGTGTGGAGACAAAATGTACAGGCAAATACGATGACCTATTTAATATCACCATTGTGTTTACTTTTCTCTTTTACAAAATAAAGGTACTTTTTAAATGTCTTTATTGGTCCACTGTTACCTTCTGTCTTCTCTTTTCGTAGCTGTGACTGGACACGAAAATGACTGCTCACCTGATTAATCAAATGACTTTTTATCTGCATTTACAGTATTTATTCAGCAAATACATATGGAAGCCCATTCCTGCCACTTAAAATAAATCTATCACCTAGTTATTGTTTTTTTTTTTAATGGACTGGAGGAGGATGATCGAGAATTCAGGGTTAGTGGAAGAAATATCAGTAACTTTCGATGTGTAGATGACAAATCTGGAGGGCCTGAAGGCTCTTATAAGAAAAGTTAAAGAACAGAGTGTGACTTCGGCTCAATATGAAGACGGCTAAGACTTATAACACAGACTCATAACTATATGTGATTCTTTTTTTTCTGTAATGGTACAGATATAATAAATTATTAATTAATTATTACATTCATATTGAAAATCAATCTACAAAATGTAATTAAGTAATTAAATTGGGCTATACACTGTCTGAGCACTTAAGACTTAAGACTACTCAAAACATAACAATATGTGAATCAGGAAACAGTAAAGACCACTAGAACAAAGCATGGCAGAACAAAGATGAAAGCAACTTGAAAAGATCTTCAAACATAACAATGTGACTCTGCAAACAAAGATTATAACTGTTCTGCCTGTGTTCTTCTCTCTGGTTCTTCATGGATGTGAAAGCTGGATAGTAAATAGGTGAGACAGAAAAACGTTGCCTTTGAACTTTGGGTTGGCGAAGACTTTTGAGAGTACCTTGGACAGCACAGAAAACAAACAAATGGATCCTTGAACAAATCAAGCCTCACCTCTCACTCAAAGCCCAGATACCCAAAAATGAATCTTATCTTATTTTGGTCATATCGTCTCAGAAGAACCAATTCTTGTTTGGACAAGTTGAAGGTAAAAGAGGAAGAAGACAACCAGCTAGAAGATGAATGGATACAATCAAAGGAATCATGAAAAAGCCATTCAGATACCTAAAAACCTAAACATAAGACGGGATATTCTGGAGAAACACTCTATTTGGTAGTCAGGAATCATAACTGACTCAAGCGCTTAACAATAGGCACATCCTGATTCAGTTTTTTGCCTCTGATCCAATCTGAATATGTTAACATTAAGTATTGGTCGATATTGATCTGATCCAATATTTGCATTTTTACAGATATACAGCCACATAATCTAAATAATATATTCTAGTCTGCTAATTAATACTATAGTAAAATTACTTCATTTTTAGTATATGCAAAATTGAACACTGTGAACTGGTATGTTTAGATTAGACCACTGATCCAGTTTTATTGAATGATATGATGATTCAACTACTATTAACTTTAAAAAGCTGCAGTGAATTCATGTAATTTTGTAAATGCAGAAAATTGTGCACCATGCTGCTACAGGTATAACCATTTACGGCACCTTTACGACATTTACGGCGTAAGTAGAGCATGGAAAAAAATAAACAAAGCATCGTAAGTGGATCAGAATTTAAACAGCTGATGCTCAATCCATTGCACGGCCCATATCACGGACAAACAAATTTTCCTTGCTTTCTTGCAATAAAAACAGTTAATGTAGTATACATAGCATTCACTCTTAGTCCATACTAAACCACAAAACAGCCCAACACATATATCAACCTATTCAGCCAACAGCAGTTTAGCTCCGCCCATAAACGCACAAGTTATAAGGAGTGTTTCAGGCTAGACTGAACCAAAAACTGGTTGGAAGGTTGGGACAGAACTGTTTTTTGGGACAGAAAACCACACAATAAACATTATTAGTGAACCTCAGGTGGAAAAAATAAAATACAAAAAAAATGTTGGAAATGGGCCTTTAATATTCACCTGGATCAGCCCTGATTCCCTGGACTGTATCAGGACAAGTAAACCAGCAACTCAAGCATGGCAGCAACTCCACAACTATGGAGCACTTAAATGACCAGTACCACAACTGGTGAATGAAATGATTACCTCAGCCTGGCTTGACACTTGAGTATTACTCTGATCTCCTTCAGTGGTGACAGTGCCCTCAGCCTTGTCCTCAGTAGCTGGTGATCTTCTCCTAGGTGTACATGACTTTTGAACCCCAGTCACTGGGCTTTCCCCAACCAACCTGCTCGGGCCCTTTACTCTCCTGCCAGATCGAGTAGTGGTGGACGAAATGGCACTGGAGGAATCGTCAAGTTCTGTAACCGCTGGTACTGCTGGCGCTGCCTTCCCTACAGTTTCAGCTTTGTTTTTCACTCTCTGTCGAGGTTTTGATTGTTCTTGGACAGTCAGATCAGGTTTGGTGTTCATCACCGCAGATGAGGGCAAAGGTGGCTTGCCTTCAGCATCCCCAGCACAGTCCGAACCCTTGGGAGCCTTAATCCCTGGCGGACCCTGGCCAGGTATAAGTGAATCAGGGACAGACAGTCCATTGGCTGCACCTCGAACCTTCGCCTCATTATCACTGTTCAGCTGCAGTTCACCAGTGTAGAAGAAAGTTAAAAGCAGCTCAAGGCCATCTTCAGTGCACTCCTGAGGAAGGTTGACCTCCATGCTAGGTGTGGTGTTTGAAATGGGCTCTTGGAATAGTTGGCTGAAGCAGGCGAGGACATTGCGGTGGGCCAGGAACACCTGACCGTTCTGGGTGCTGAGCATGACATCGCAGAACTTGCCGAGCTCCCTCTGTTGGTTGAGTTGGGATAGCACCCACTGAGCATGGGTGTTCCCTTGAGCCATTATCTCCATCTTTACTGATGGGAAGCAAGTCAGACCAGCAGCAAGAACACCCTGCAGAGCAACAACAACAACAACAAAAAAAAACAAATACTACAAAGACATCTTGAAATAAGTAATATTTACAGGACGAGGTCTTACTTAATGGTCAACTTTTGTCCCCAAAGGCTACTGTCTTAAAGTGGAACTCCACCGATTTTTCAAAAATTCTACATAATTAAATGGCTGACATGTAAACAAAGTAATTCAGAGTGGTTTGGTGTAAAATGACCCATTCTAAAGAAACTAGCTGAGTCAGAATTGTTCACAATGGTGGTGTTAGGAACTAGGCGCCTGAAGAGTTAAACACCTCTAAAAGCTCCCTCACAGACAGTTAGTACAGGAAATGGTTAGATATATGTGGCCTGATTTATGACATATTGTTTAATGATAGTTTTGTTATAAAGTTTTGCCTTAAAATGTATTTTAATTCATTTATTTTTAATCCATTCAAGGTGGAGGGGTAATATGCAGGGTGTTATAAGGCAGAATAGGCCCCCAAAAACTTATTTTTTCCAATTTTTCCACTACTTGACCATCATCAGCATTACAAATAAAACTCAGAAGATGTGTGTAGGCTCTCTGGTGATTTTAGACAATAAATAAAATGGTTATACTTGTGATGTATACACTGTGACCCCTGGTTCCTATCACCACCACTGTACAGACATTTTAGCCTCTAACTATCTCTACAATTAGCCATTTTACATAAAACCACTCTGAATGACTCTGTTTACATGTCAAGGGCTGAATTATTCAGAAATTTTTAAAACTTGGTGGAATCCCCCTTTAATAAGAAACCGTTCATTTTGTGCTTGAAGAACCAATTTGGCTTCTCGAGATGTTGCAGCCCTACACTAAGCTCCCATTTTCTAAAAATAAGAAAACACATTTACATTTGATGTACATATTGTTATCTAGCACCTTAAGGGCTCCATTATTTATCCGGCTAGTTCGGCTCTAAGGTTACTAGCTAGCTCGACGTTGAGCGCGATATCTGTATTTTAGTGACGCTCCCTAAAGTTCGCGCCTATGAAAGCAGCTGCGAATAACTCACCTTCCCCCAAATCTCGACAGTAAATATCCCCTTATTTCCACATGTCGAAACAATACCTATAGCAACAACACAGCAAATACATACTACACTGAAATCATTAAATACTTTTTTCCTCTAAACCACAGGCGGCCATGTTGGGAAGAAGCAGGAAATGACGCCTGCATGTTGAAGCCTACAAGGTTGTTGGCCAAACAAAGCTTTGCAACGGAGTTACGTTTTGTTGATGAGAAATTATACACTAAAGCACATCTGGCGTTGCCTAAAGATAAAATAACTAACAGTGTGTTTTATTTTGAACAGAAAGCATAACAGAATGTTTTTAACAGCTTGTTGTTAAAGTCGAGTACAGAGACTTAAACGCGAGAATGCTTTAGTTGTCCATCACGTAGCCTTTTCTGTCGTTCTGATTCAAGTACCGAATCGACTCTACTCAGTAGTTAACTTCCGAACTCCCGAAGCAGCGATTCACTGATTCGTATGTCAAGCCAACTTTATTCTCGTTACGCTCAATTTTAAAGAGATTCAGTTGAGGGAGTGCGCGCTAAGAATTACTATATTGAGGCCACAAGTTATGAGAAAACTTAATTTATGGATTCAGTGAACTAATTCGTGGCCTTAGTATGTTGATTTGCCGTCACACCTTATTGAAAATAGTCACCATTTATCACCTTAGGGGCTCTGTAGTTTTGATTTATGTGGTGAAAGTGTGGGATGCAACAAATAAGACAATGGAAAATTCGTGTCCACATAACACAAAGTACAGTACAAAGTAAAGTACAAAACTACAGAAAGGCAAAAGGGAAGAGGAAGTCAGAGAGACAAGGCAAGCTAAATTAAATACATTGTTCTTGATATGCTACAATGTTTATGTTATCATTTTATAAAGTAAAATTACGAGAGATTGTTATTCAAGTTGAATTGGTGGTCTTTTCCTTATAAAATGAAATTAAACATTCCAGCGATGAAGATGCCACTACAGAGATCGATTCAATTAGATTGGTGAATCGGTTCCACCGGCTGACTGGGACGAACCGATTCAAAAGAACAATTCACGAGTCGAATATCGCTACTAGCGCTAGCCAGCCGCTAGCTGCATTGTTTTAACATTTTGGTTCTCTCCCAGTGTGAACTCAATGGCCCCGTTTAAAGTGCTGTATTAGACTACGTTTTTGCGTAGAAGAGCTTCAGGATACGGGAGCATGACGGTCCGCTACGAACGGTAACGTAGTGTGTCGTTATAACGTGACTAGCCGAGTCTTCTAGTTAGTGTTTGCCCCTCACATGGAGTGAAGCCCTGCCGCTCATTAGACTGTTAGCAGCGGTTGGTGGATAATTCGGAGCACAGCCCGAGAATTAGTTCATATTTAACTTTAATGCTTGTCGGTGCTGCTTTTTGAATGTTCTCTTCAAAACAGAAATAGTGGCTTTTCATACAGAGGTGAGCAGGTAACGTAGCGTGGCTAATGCGCGGTGCTTCAGGCAGCGCTGTGACTTTACAGCCACACACTGATAATAACGAACAACACCTGAAGTGGTTTTCACGAGTATTATACATCAGTCTGGGCTAATTTGAGCTATGTTAATATTTTAAACGTGTTAGCTAAACGATTTAGGCATTAAATAAGATAAAAGCAGTGAAATGCTAGCACAGCTTGTTAGCTCAGTACTAGTACACTGTTTGAGGAGAAGCTGTGTAAACATTACATTCGTCTTACTCATTTACAGCATTTTAGCTCAAGCAAATGAAATCTTATGTTACTTTTGAACTAGTAAAGCTTATTACCATGTTGTTTGGTTGTGAGAGGAAGTGTCACTGTTAATGCTGTATGTTGAAGCTGCAGAACTAACATCAGTGTAACAACCAGTAGGCTAGTGAATCAATAAAGTTATCTTTGGTGGGCAAATCCAGCCTCTGGCTTTTTTTAAGAGAAAGGCTGAAGACGAACATTGGAGTGCTTCTTGTCCATGTAAATGTGTTATTTTTCTGTGTTTCTGTGTAGGTGATCTAGTGCCAATGAAAGTACAGAAGCAGCAGCAATGAAAGTGCATAAAGTCTCCCCTCGTTCCAGAAATGATCAGCGAAAACGCCATCCACCAAGGAACAAGTGGCGTGTTCACAACAAAAAAATTAGCAATGTGGACCCCTCTGGCCTCAGTTCAAGCCCTGCCACAGCAAAACTGGAGCATCAGCTGGCTACTAGGCAAAAGCTCAAGCTGAAACGGTTGCAGAAGGTGTACACCAAGGCGCAAGACTTGACACTTGAGGACAATCATTCAGTTCGGGCCAAAGGCAAGGTCTCCGCTCCTGTTACCTTCCCTCACGTCCACACTAATGGTGGGACAGAGGTGGAGGCCGGTGGCGATTCGGAAGACTCTCAGGAGTGGCGCTCCTATGCCAAGAGTGTTCTTCAGAATGGTATGGAGCGAGGAGGAGGTCGAGAAAGTTCAGCCCCAGCGGCTTCAGAACAGTTGGAGGACGAGGAGTTGCCGGGATACCATGCCCAGCATGATCATGTCCAGAACCACACAGTGTTGGTCTTGCAGCAAGGCCAGGTAAAACAGAGTCTTGGTCATTCTTAAAGTTCTAAATGGTCCAGCTCATAATCACCATTTGTGTGTCCTGGTTGTACTCTGAGTGGTGCTGCTATTGAGGCTTCAACCTTTGTGATCTTACATTTGCAGTCCCTGTGCTTCCGAGGGAGGTGCTTGCTCACATGCCTCAGCGGTCGTGTGGAGGTGCTGGGCTTCACTATAGAGCAGGGCCAGCAACCTTACCCACTCTTCTCCCCCTCATCCCATTGCCCCCTCACCATCACAGCCTTAGGGGACTGCACACCGTCCACCAAGAACAAGAAAGAATGCCGCTTGGAGGCCAAGGCCATTGTCCGCAAGTACCTTTCCTCAGGTGAGCGCTTTGCCACCATGGTAAATGATTGGGCTGCAAGTAATCTAACTCTTCTTTGATGACACATTTATATTCATATTTGTGGTCCCCCTTGCTGAGCTGATCTGTCTGGCATCATGGATGCTGTTCCGTTGTCTGAATTCAGCTATGTGATTAACGCTGCTTGCAACAGTGTTACAGATGAAATGGATTGAAACGTATCTTTTTGCTCACCAAAGTGCCGCTAAAGTTACTTAGCCATGCTGTAAGTTAATTAGTAGCAATTAGCCAGCTAGCTAACATCCTTTTATGCAAGAAGTTGCGGCAGTCCCAGAGCTGTTTCATTGCAAGGGAGTCTTCAGTAGCTAGAATCAAAGTAAGATAAACAGAGACCTCGTTTGTGATTTATTATATATAGTGATATTCAATATAATTGCAGTCACAGGTAACTTGTTCTGTAGTGTCGTGCAGTATATTGGAATAAACAGCTTGTCCATGTTAAGAACATTATAGCACTTTTTTTATTAAAGCAACAGTAACATTTTTTTTCATAATCTTCGTCATCAGCTAATCATTGTAGCCGTAATAAAAGATTATGCAGGTTGATGTGTGACTTTCTTGTTGCATTGCAGAGCCTCGGAAGAGGTTGCTAAGCGAGGTGGACTCAGACTCGTGTGTGCTGCTGCTGCAACCGCTGGACACGCCGCTCACACGTTTCCTCGGCAGCTTCAGTGAGCTCAGCCCACTCTTTGACGTCAACTCGGTTAGTGAGCTCTGCTGCTCTTCACACACAGTCTTACTAATAAATATTAAGTGTGACCAAGAAATAAATAGATAAATTTTGCTTTTTCAGTTTTGCACTAGAGGCTAAGAGGCAAATGTTGCTAACAAAGCATCATGTTTTGAGTCTAAACCAAATCTGATTCGAAACACAATATCAAGTTAAAATGAGTCCAACAAAACAGTGCCCAAACTGACACGTAGCAATCAATCACCTAAAGCACTAAATAAAGCCTTATAGCACAGCACAAGTTACCATGTAGTAACAGTCATAGCTGTATCACAGATAAATAAAATATAGTACAATGTAGACACATTTGGATAATGATAACCCAACCATTAGCTATGCTAGTTATCTTGGATCTCTTTCAACATCAGTCTCTTAAACACAGTGACCGCAGGTATCACGTCCGAGGCTAATCTGAGGAGCTTAGCAAACATACAGAGAGACCAAAGATTACATATAAGAATAAAACCAAACATAAAATCAGGTGGTAATGTACACAGTAGGACAACAGTCTCTCTACAGCCTATTTTACAAAGACAGTTTAAAAAGTCATCGTATTAATGTTTATACTTCGCAATTACATTCATTCTAATAGAGTAAAGTTGGCAAATACGGACTTCTGGTAAGAAATGTCAACATCCGCTTTGCTAGCCTACGTGTCTCCACCCATATTGGGGAAGTGGTTGTGAATGTGATTGTATGTGTTTTAAAATGAGCTAAAATCGTACCGTCTATTCCTGGAATTTGCCAAGGTGGAATGTTAAAACTGACCTACGTCTTGTGTCCAAGTTCCCTCTTCTCGATGTGAGCAGAGCCTCCTTCACTGCCATCTTGAGTCATTTGTTCATTTGTGCGGCAGTATACGCTAGGCTCACGTGACATGGTATCTGTTGGTATCAGTGAATTTTTAGGAGTATGAATAAATGAGCACGCCATCCCTCTGTTTTTGTATATTATATAAAATAAAGTGTGTGTGTGTGTGTGTGTGTGTATATGAGAGAGAGAGAGAGAGAGAGAGAGTATATATACAAACTGTATTATGGCTGTAGCTGTGGCCAGAAGGCATTGATGTTCATACAGACTTTAACTCATGGGTTAAATGACGAGTGTCTATATCACTTGACATTGAAACTTGGGTTGTGTGTCTGTGTATGGATGTGTGTGTGTTTTACAGAAAGAGTTGCGCTCTCAGGCCGCTGTATACGACCCTGCCCTCTCAGCCGTGGGTGTTACAGCTCTGCGGGGGCCGTGTAGTCGAGGCCTGGTCGTGTCCCCGAGTTACAGAGAGGCTCTCGGCAACCTACTCAGTGCCTGGGAAGGTATACACTATACACGTACACTACCACGTAAAAAATAGAGTTTTCAATAATATAAAACCAATTTGTTGAAGATACATGTACAAAATTGGTCCGTTATGATGCTACAATGATACAACTTCTTTGTAAAAAAGAACTACTACATT